TTTAAATGTTAGGGATGCGGGTGGCGCTGTGGGTAAAAGCCTCAGCGCCTAGGGCTTGCCGATCGAAAGGTCGGCGGTTCGAATCCCCGCGGTGGGGTGCGCTCCCGTTGCTCGGTCCCAGCGCCTGCCAACCTAGCAGTTCGAAAGCACCTCCAGGTGCAAGTAGATAAATAGGGACCGCTTACTGGCGGGAAGGTAAACGGCGTTTCCGTGTGCTGCGCTGGCTCACCAGATGCAGCTTTGTCACGCTGGCCACGTGACCCGGAAGTGTCTGCGGACAGCGCTGGCCCCCGGCCTCTTGAGTGAGATGGGCGCACAACCCTAGAGTCTGTCAAGACTGGCCCGTACGGGCAGGGGTACCTTTACCTTTACCTTTATAATTTAAACACCGTATTTGGTGACAACTTGCAAAAACACACAACAGCAGCCATTAAGGACATTTGGCAACTTTAATGTATGTAACACAGGCTCTGGAACTTTTTATCCTTTGAAGGCATGATGTGCCTTGTACATTGCACTGGTTCTTTCATTGTATTTCCCCTCTTTTTTTGTATTTTTATATTTATTTTTTGTGGGTGGGTGGGTGGCTGAGTGGAGAGAGAGAGAGAGAGAGAGAGAGAGAGAGAGAGAGAGAGAGAGACATGGTGGACAGGTGTTAACTGATGATAGGGGCACCTTCAAGACTTCTGCTCTCAGGGCCGGCCCTTCCATTAGGCAGAGTGAGGAAGTTCCAATGGGCAACTTCAAGGATAGCCCCCGCCCATCACTTCTTTATCAACTGGACAGCCCTTGCAACAAATTAGGCTTTCTATTATAGGACTGCCTCGGATAGCCTTTGAAATGAAGGGCTATCTCTTTAAAGTAGGACACATGGACAACCCATTAAATGTGGAGTGAAGCACAACACTGTTGAGTGGAAAATCAAGATACAGGAGCTCTGTGATTCTTTTCCCTTTCAAAAAAGAGCTTCTTGCCCGACATCTGCAAAGGTGTGGGAATGGGCTGATTTATGTCCCCCTCCCCCCCAACGTCATCTTTCAGAGGCAGAAGAAAAGTGAGAAGGAAAGCCAAATGTTTGCAAAAGGTTGACCGGAATATGGCCAGAAAGAGTCCCGCTATCAAAACTGATGTCTGGGATCACCCGTCTGACAAGGCTCTGAGCATGTTTTCTGAGCAGCTTCCAACGCAGGATGGCTCTGTGTGCATTAATAAAAAAGGACAATGTACAAAATTTACAAGAGAAACCATCCTCGAATCGACAGCACCAGATGGCTGAGTTGGGTGACAAGAACACAGCAATGTCAAGCCAAAGAAACCATCGGGCCTGTCCAACAGCTACTAGGTTCACTGCATGCGCAAAACAGATGATTGCTATTTTCACCCCAGGAGAATCCCTTGGGTTTTCTAAAAAATGGATTTATGTAAACGTTTTTTGAAACTGTAGAGACAATAAAACAAAACAAAATATATGGGTTAAAGAATACTGCTACTACAACCAATAATAATAACAATAATAATGGTAGCAGTCTTTAGCTCAGCCTTCCCCAATCTGGTGCCCTCTGGATGTTGTAGACTCCAAATTTCTTTGACCGTCAGCAATGCCAGTTGAGACTGATGGAGTCCAAAACCTCTGCTGAGTACCAGGTTGGGGAAGGCTACTTTAGTTGATCAGTAGGTTAGATCAATTGATTAAAAAACAAAAGCAGCGCCTTCATTTTATTTGGAACCCTTCTCTCTCACTTCTGCTATTGTCCATAGTTTGGGTTACAAGCTGTGAAAGGACCCGTAACGTGGTAGAAGCATCCATTATGATTTGCTGCTGATTAATCTATGGGTAGCACAGCACATTCCCTCCCATTAAATATTAGACAGGCACTATCTCTGGACTTTTGGAACCTACTGAAGACCTTCCTCTTCCAACAAGCCTGCATATAAATTGAATTTTTAAAAGAAGTTTTATGGTTTGTGTGTTTGATGCCCTTGGGCTCCTTTGGGAGGAAGGGTGGTATATATCTATATTGCCAACATCACCACCACCATCATCATAATCAATATCAACAACAGCTGTGGTTTGTTATTTAACCCTATGGAACTGGGTATATTTGCTTTTAAAATCATCTCTCTACAATGTATCACAGAATCACAGAATGGTAGAGCTGGGAGGGTTATCTCCGTCCCCTGCAATGCAGGAATCACAGCTAGAGACAAGTGGCCAGCCAACCTTCAGGAGAGTCCACCACATCCCAAGATAGTCTGTTCTTTGACTAAGAACATGCAGCTGCCATGAAGCTATTGTCCCCTCCTTAGTAATTTTCTCCTTGGAAGAGGCAACACAAGGCTCCATTCCTCAGAATCACATCAAGAATATGGGGTTGCTGGAAAGCATTTTGTCAAGTGATTATGTTTCCCAACTATTTTTTCGTATCCACCCTCAGTTCACTGTTTTACATTCTGGGGGTTAAGGAAAGTGAATTGGGTATTTCTAAATTTAATATCGTACCACTACCCAACCAGAGCCCCAGGAATAAACTACGGTACAAATCTGAACCCGCAGATCTAACCCACTCTTCCAAAACATTATGACTTGCGAATTTAATTTCCATAAATGTGTTGCCTTCTGGTTTTGTTTTGTGTGTTTGAAATCTAGGGATTTAATTCAGATTTTTGTCGTCCTTTAAGAGTTTGGTTTTGGTTTTCTTTTGTTATTTCCTATTCAGCTGGTATTGCTCCTCTTACCAAAAAGAAAAGGGGGGCGGGGAGAGAGAGAAAAAAGAAGTCTGAACCACTAATAGGTCCTGGAAAGGATTAAAGTCTCCAGAGTTCAAAAGAGATCAAACGGATATCAGTGATTTTATGAACAAATCGTACACGAGATGGGAAACGTTAAAAGATGATAACATCTCAGCCAGATCCCACATCAAAAAAATGTGTTATCTACATTCTTCTTCCCGAACTGCAAAAACAAACGCAACTGACTGAGCTCCGCCATGCTGAAGGGAGTTTCTTGCTAGCTAAACTTTTGCTAAACTGGGCAAAGGTTAGATCTGTAAAGCTGTGCATCTATTCACTTCCCAGGCTGGGATCCAAAAGTGCTGAGCTCTGGAGGGGCATCAGACTTGGGTTGTTTCTTGACCACCTCATCTCCCATCGTCATCTGGCAGGCAGACCACTTTTATAAACAGAAGGGGCTTTCAAAGGATGGTAAGTGGGCCATTGTTGTTTTTTTTAAAAAGCCCACTATTTAATAGTATTACCTAAATTAGGGCGGCTCAACTTTTCATACCAAGAAAGCCGCAATAGTGCTTTGGCACAGAAGCCACTGGCCACACTCTGTTTTGTCGCGTGGTGGGGGAAAGCAAGACCAAAATTTGAGGGGCCCCCCCCTTGACCTCACGCTGCCTTCCCAAAGTTGGCTAAGCAAGGTGCAGGGCTTCGGGAAGGAAGCATGGAGCTCTGGCAGAGTCCTAGAGCCCTCCCACCTCCTTCCCAAAGCTGGGAAAGTGCGAAGTAGGCTTTGGGAGGGAGATGGGAGGACTCTAGGATTCTGCCAGAGCCTCAAGCCCCAAAGCCTAGCACCTCACATACCTGGCTTTGGGAAGGCAGTGTGAGGGCTGGGAAGGTGTCAAATGTTGCTGAGAGCTGCCCTAAAGGTCTTGAGGGCCGTATGGAAGTGAGAGAAGGCATTGAAATTGATATGGAAGGCCTGGGTCTCCTATGTCCCCCTAATGTGGAGGTCTATCGTGGAGTATTGTGATGCACACACAATGACTCAGATTGACTGAGTCCCTGGCTGACCCCTCCACATGCAGGCAGAGGGAATCATGCACACAGAACTGTATCCAACATGATTCATACTCAAGACTAGATCCACTGCAATCAATGGACAGCGCTAATATAGGTCACTGAATTTCAATGGGTCTACCCTGAGCAGAAGGTGGCTGACTATAACGCCCTCCTCCCCAAAACAAGCTACTTTGTTGATGGAGAGGCCACTTACTGTATGCATTGCCAAAAAACAAAAGAGGGCATAGATTTACATAAAAATTGCACATGCTAATTCCTATTTCTAGATGTCCGTTTAGAAAGAATGGTTGAAATTTAAAGAGATTACACAGCTCCTCTCACCATAGACGGGAAGGCACAGTTACAATGTCCTTATCTTTAAAATGGACTTAAACTATACAGTCATACCTCGTGTTGCGTTTGCTTCAGGTTGAGCATTTTCAGGTTGCGTCCCAAGGCGACTCGGAAGTACTGGAAAGGGTTACTTCCAGGTTTCGCCGCTCGCGCATGCGCAGATGCTCAAAATGACGTCATGGACATGCGCAGAAGCGGCAAATCGCGACCTGCGCACGCGCAGGTTGCTTTCTGCTCAGGTTGCAAACGGGGCTCCAGAACGGATCCCGTTCACAACCAGAGGTACCACTGTACAGCCCATGCCACCCTTAAGATGGTTAAGAGTCCTCTGTAAAATGGGACACTGAGCCACCGTACTACCTGATCTATAACGGTATAGGGAAGAAAATCATTGTGAACTATTTAAAAAATAGGAGGATGTTGGCGTGTGTGTGTGTGTGATATATCAAATAACCTTGGGTAAAAATGATTGCCATTCCAGAATAATCTGGTATTGGCCCAGAATCACTTTTTTAAAATCTAGCACTGCCTGGGTAGCCTAGTGACAGATCTGAGACTTTGAAGACGAATTGAAGGGAGAGGGAAATGCCAATATTCCTCCCCTTCCCTCTTTGCACAGGAGACAGTTGCAAAATCCGGTGGGTTCCAGGCACTTCTCCTCCTGACTAAAGCACAATCGCCAAGGTTAGGCAGCTGCTGCCAGAACGAGAGAGAGGGAGAGAAAGAAAGGGGGAGGGCCTTGTTCCCTCGGAGCGGCGCTTAAAGGTGTTGCCCACGTAGGTGTAAATACATCTGTCTTCTGCCATTTGTGGTAATACACTCGCCCTACACTTCTCAGAGCCAGGCAGATGGTCCCTGCCCTGTCTTCCTATTACAGCCTCGCGTCGCTCCATGCTCCGAGAAATAGGAGGGCAGATGTTAAATATGTTAAACACACGCTTTGCCCCCTGGAGGTTTAAGTTAAGGCTGCTGTCTCAATTTGGCCATTTTAGGCCTTGCCAAGCTTCAGGGAACATCGGCGTTCCGCTTCATTCTCTCCTCCACAAAAGGGGCTTCCCGTCCACCCCCTCCCCAACCCTTGCATTCAGATGGTGGGCCCAATCCACTAGGAACATCTCTGCAAACCTCCAGCCTCGCGTAAGCAACTGCAGAGCACCCCTATTTCTTTCCAACAGAGTGTGAGTGTGTGTGTGTGTGTGTCCCCACTAAATTTTGGATGCACAAGAAATGGAATTGGTTTGGAATCTGAATGGGCTTTAAATTATTTCTGTCTGTGGCTGTTCTTCGGTTTCAGTTTCCTGCTGTTTTGCCAGGAGGGGACGGTGAGCCAACTTTTTTTTCTTCTTTTTTGGGAGGGGGAGAGTTTCATAATTGTTTGTAAATGTTAAATATATCTATATCTACCTAACTAATCTATCTATAGCACGTGTTCTAGCCAAGCATAAGCAATTTTCAGTCCTATTGATTTCAACGGGACACAGGAGCACAGGATGTTGCCTTATACTGAGTTGCCTTACCCAGCTCTACACTGACTGGCAGTGGCTCTGCAGAATTACAGACAGAGGATAATCTCAGCCCTGCCTGAAGATGCCATTGGGGATTGAACCTGGAACCTTCTGCATGCGAAGCAGACACTCTACCACTGAGCTATGGTCCTCCCTAAACACACAGACAGAAGCACAAGGTAACAACCATATGCAGCTACTATATTCTGAGTCAGACCCTTGGGTGCATCCAGCTCAATCCTGTCTACACTGACAGGCAGCAGCTCTCCAGGGTTTTAGGCAGGAGACATCCCCAGCCCTACCAGGGAATGAGCTTGATGCCTTCCGCATTCAAAGCAGATTCCCTTCCACTGAGCAGTTGATGTAGATCTGTGTAAGGTGCTCCTGGGACTGGGGCAATCCCTTTCTTCTAATTTATAAGCATAATTTCAGTATGCTGTACTTATTTACTCATATAACAGCCCTGGAAAGGTGCTGAACTGGGAGGCAGTGATATTCCCAGGGCCATTTAGTGAACTTCCTGGACTAAAAGATGTGAACCTGGGTCCCCTGTCCAACAGTCTGTGTGCTGCTTTCACACTATGCCCTTGCCTTCTGGAGTCCACAGAGGCCCTTAGAGTTCCTTCTACTCTATTACACAGGAAGCTGCCACAGAGCGACACAAAGCGATTTACATTAAAACCAATTAAGAGCATCCATATTTTTTTTCTAATCTAAAACCACAGACAAAACAGACCAGGACTTACTGATCCGACTCCAATAAAATAGACCACAATGCTGAAACTTCCAATTAAGGGCCAAAATCCCAGGCCAAAAAGAGAGAGAAAAGATAGTCGGTGCCAGGAGTGCCTCCTTGGGGACAGCATTCCACAAGGTGGGGGCCACCACTGAAAAGCCATGCTTTTGTGTTGCCCCCTTCCAGACCTCTCATGTCAAACCCATCTAGCTAAGTATTGCCTATACAGTCATACTTCATGTTACGTTTGCTTCATGTTACGTCTTTTCAGGTTGCATCCTGCGGTGACCCAGAAGTACCGGAAAGGATTACTTCAGGGTTTCGCTGCTCGCACAGGCGCAGTAGCGCTAAATCGTGCTTTGCGCAGAAGTGCCAAATCACGCCGCACACCTGCGCAGATACGGCGCTTCAGGTTGCGGGCTTTTCAGGTAGCGAACAGGCCTCCGGAATGGATCCCATTCACAACCAGAGGTACCACTGTACTGTATGAAAGCAGCTCCCCAGGATTTCAAAAAAGGGGTCTCCCCAGCCCTACGTGGAGGTGCCAGCACCGAGTTACAGCCTCTCCACTCTTCTGAACTGTATTTGCTCTATCCCTCCATCAAAAATGAATATGCAACCTTCACTCACTTGAGACACAAGGCAAAAAAAAAAAACCCTGCAGGGTTTTGATACATACACGGATACATAATTTTATTTGTATGCTGCCTTTCCACAGTTCAAACCATGCTCGAGGCGGCTTACAACATGAAACAAATACATAAGTACAACAAAAGTAGCCATAAACATTAAAAAAATACACAACCAAACTGAACCATTTCCACATAAATCACAAGATCTAAAATGAAAAAACCAACAGCAACAACCCCCGCCCCAAACTGAATTTTTCAGTACATTGTAGCTGGAGTCAGCCAGGGCCCTGCCTTTCCAGGCCAGGTAGAAAAAGGCCTGCAAGGCAAGGAGCAGGTCCTCCAGGAGTCACAGCCAAGACATATACCCAAAGCTCCACATTCACAGGGGCTCCCTTTTATAGGCAAAGGGACGTTTTTGTGTGTATCAGAGTCTCCGTGCTCACAGAGGACCTGCTGGATCAGCGCCTACTTTGATGTACCATCAGAGGATAAGAGGAGGCTCAAAAACCATCCCGGATGTTTCTTTTAGTCTCAGGGATGTTGAAGGATAGCAATTCAAGCATTGGAAATGCTGAAAGATCTTCAAAAGATTATGGAGTAAGCCGCTCAGTATTTAACTAGCCTATCTCAAACGGCAAGAGGGCTAAATCAACCATGATCAAATGTAAGAGTTGCAGCCTGGAGAAACAGAGGGCATTTCAGCCCCGCAGCATCATGAGCAAACACCAGACATTGTGAGACATGCAGAGAGGAAAGACGCCCCCCCCATCCCCACCTTGCTTTTCTCCCCTTGGAGAAGCTACTAAAGAGAAGGAATGGCAGAGTAATGGACAAAATCCTCTCTAGAACCCTACCCAAGGATCCGTATCCATGCACGGGTTATCTAAAATGGGGGTAACCAACAAGGTAGTCTCCAGATCCTGTTGGACTGCAACTCCCATCATCCATGACCACTGACTGTGCTGGTTTGGGCTGATGGGAGTTGGAGTCCAACAACCACTGAATGGCACTACATGGGTTTTCCTTGCTCCAGCAGGACAGAAGACGTGCCCTGGAGTAAGAAAATGATTACTGGGTATCCACTGGCTTAACTCAGCCACTTCACATTTTTTCTGGATATCTTACACTGGCATGGTCTACACATTCAGTAGTGGAACCCTGAAAGAGGCAAGTTGCCCATTCTGGATGGGGTTGCACTCCTTCTGAAGGAAAAGGTGTACAGCTTGAAAGTTGTTGTTGTTACCTCACCCATCTGACTGGGTTGCCTCAGCCACTCTGGGCGGCTTCCAACAAATTATAAACCCACAGCAAAACCTTGAACATTAAAAACTTCCCTATAGCAGGCTGCCTTCAGGTGTCTTCTAAATGTCGGGTAGTTGTTTATTTCCTTGACATCTGACAGGGACGGGGTGTGCATTCCATGGGGCGCCACTGCCGAGAAGGCCCTCTTCCTGGTTCCCTGTAACTTCACTTCTCGCAGTGAGGGAACCACTAGAAGGCTGAATGCTGGGGGTGGAGACGCTCCTTTAGTTAGACAGGGCCAAGGCCGTTTAGGGCTTTAAAGGTCAGCACCAACACTCTGAATTGTGCTTGGAAACATACTGGGAGCTAATCCTTTAGGACCGGTGTTATATGGTCCTGGTGGCCACTCCCAGTCATCAGTCCGGCAGCTGCATTCTAGATTAGTTGTAGTTTCTGTCTCATCTTCAAAGGTAGCCCCATGCAGAGCGCATTGCAGTAGTCCAAGCGGGAGAGGACCAGAGCATGTACCACTTTGGCGAGACATGTCTGTCTCTAGGAGCCCAAGTGTCCCCTGTGGCTAGGAGTCCCTTTTACCAGGTCTGTCTGGTTCACCAGCTATGTTTGTTCCTGGACAGGGATAGCCTGACCACTGAAGTCAATGCATTAGTAACCCCAAGCCTGGATTCCTGCAACATGCTCTATGCAGGGCTGCCCTTGGGCCTGCTTTGGAAGCTCCAACTGGTGCAGAACACAGCCACCAAATTGTTGATAGGGGCACATGGCTGGCAAGGTGTGGCACCATTATTAAAACATCTTCACTGGCTGCTCATCTGCTAGCAAACCAGGTTCAAGTTCCTTGTATTAATTTACAATGCCTTTAGTGAGTTCGGTTCAAGGTACCTTAGGGACTGCTTGAACCCTTGTATCCAAGCCCCATCACCAGGCGAGCAGCTGGTCACACCCCAAGTTGGAGAGGCCCATCTGACAGTGACACAAAAATGAGCTTTTAATGTCAGTGGACCAGTCCTGTGAAATATTCTAACAACAGAGATTCAGCAGGCACTTTCTGTTTTAACCTTTAAATGTCTGCTGAAAACTTTTCTATGCTACTAAGCTTACGCAGGAAATTAAGGGGAGGAAACAACTTTCTGTAACAGTTGATGATCTCTGACTTTAAAATTTCATGTGGTTTTTATGTGTGTTTGAGTATAGGCTGTAAACCACTTTGATTTTTTTAAAATGAATAGCAGTATACAAATATTTTTATAAATAAGTGGTAGAGTGAAATGCTTTTGTTTTTTTGTTTGTTACATTTCTATCCCACCTTCCTCCAAGGAGCTCAAGGTGGTGTACTAGGTCCTTGTCCAAAACTCTAACCACTATACCACACTGGCTGTCTAGTGTACCACTTCTATAAGTGCAGGGTGACATTTTTTATTGCTTTCCATCCTATGTAATAATTTAAACAAACACCCTATTACATGAAGGACAAAACTACTATCCCTAACTGATCCCCAGCTTTTCTAGTGTTCCTGCAGATTTTTGGGAATTTTTTTAATGTGGCACCCTCACATTTGATGTACAGTGAGCCAGTCCATTCTATTAGCACAGCACTAACTTAGGTCCATCAATTTCAATGGGACTCCCTTTCAGTAAAACTTAGTTGGATGCTGCCCACTGAAATGAATGGAAATGACTAACATAGCTCCATTAATTTCAATGAGTCTACCCTGAGTAGGATTTAGCTTGATATGGATCAATGAGTCTCCTCTGTGTAGAACTAACCTTGGACATCACCCAAGAACACTATTCATTGAGCTTGGAAAGTTTAAGATGGAAGAGTGCTTGAAAATGTATCAGATCAGTTAAAACCTTCCCCAATCTGGTGCCCTCCAGATGGGTTTGGACTACAACTCCCATCAGTTCAAACCCATTTGGAGAGCACCAAGGTGAGGAAGGCCAGAGTAGATTGATAAAACAAATACGCCTGCTTCTCTGTGGGTGGAGAGAGACGCAAACTCTTAAGGAGGGCAAATGTTTGGCAGTATTTTGTTCTGCCATCAAAACACATGCGTATGTTCCCTGCTTGGTTCTCCCTCTTCCTCCCTCCCTCCCTCTCTCTTTCTTCCTAAGGTAAGCTCTATAAAAGCACAATATTTCTCCTCGCTTTCACTGTGTTTGGCTGAGTACACTGACTTTGAGCCTGGATTGAAGTACAGCAATTGCAGGAACTTTACTCTGAACATCTCCCAAACTTCTTTTTAAACTATAACATATATCACGTTATGAACCGGGAGGCCAGGGGGTGAAAATAATAAAAATAAACTGAAATGAAATAGAGTAAGATGTGAATAATATTTTTTTTAAAAAAAAGACAAAATCAAAACAGCGCTGTTGATAGCTTAGCAGGGGCCGGGAAATCCTCTGTTTAAGTTACTAATTACCTCTGATGTCAAGCAGAAAGCAAATCCCTCAGATGATTTGGAGAAAATGAGCCATCGAAGTACAAAATGAGGAAAAAAGAAACGAGTTTGGAAATTTTGGACAAATATTTACAGACCCGGTTTGAGATGCCCTGGAGTTGCTCCCTTATTCTACATGCGGCACAAACCAGAGTGAATGTGCAGGGCAATCCTATGCACATTTACTCAGAATCAAGTCCTACTGTGATCAAGGGGACTTACTTGCAAGAAACTGTGCACAGGACTGCAACCTTTAAATACAGAACAGAGGTGTTGCTGCTAAGCACAACTCTCTCCCCTCCCACAAGAAAAATACTATATGCAAAGAAAAAATATATTTTTAATGCATTAAGGAATTGCTCTTTTAGAGCACTTTACTTACCCTGTACGCTTGGTGATGGTTCCTAAGGTCATGGGCTGCTTGATTTGAGCAAGAGGAACTACCACAGTCAGGCTGGGAAGTGGAGAAAGGCGAGGGTTTCCAGGGTTATTGTTGGTGAAATTGTTGTAAGTGTCTTGACTATTCAATTTACCTTAACAGGAGAAAGAGAGAGAGAGAAAATAATTGGAGGTGGTGAGGGAAGCAGCATTATTAATTTATTTTAAACATTTCAATCCCACCTTTCCAAGATTCAGCATTTTTATTATTAAGTTTACCGTAACCCGCCCCCCCTCCAGCGATGGATGAATTGGTCAAAGTAGGTTTCTCTCCATTTCTCCCAATCTTAAATTCAGCGTGCTGGATTTCTGTAACGGTTTGTGATTTATTTATTTATTTACCAAAAGCCCTCACACGAAAATTTGTCAGCTTTTGTAGTGCACATTTCCACTTTGAGGTTTGTTGATTTTTTAAAAAATCAATCAAGTGGTATATAAAACTTTATGAAATAAATGAATTTCTCCTAAGCTACACATTTCTGTATGAGATTTTGGCAAACAGTTTTGCAAGCAGTTCCCCCCCCCACATAGCATGAATTTTCGTACACCATTATTCGACTGGGAAGCTGCGCTGCAAGTGCGAATTTCAAAGGGTGGCTGCTTTAAGCTTGAGTATTGTTTTGAGAAGCGTGTATTAGGTAGATGCACAAGAACTGAATTTATTCCCCAGCCCTATTCTCTGCCCGGCTAATCTCCGCATCTATATGTTTTCAGATCAACAGCTCTCCTTGCGGGGATTAAGGCGGATGTACCACCCAGGAAGCAAAAATAGAATTAACACCAACATGAAGAAAATATGGTGACATTTTTTTAAAAAAGGTGTCGTCGTCCCCAGCAAAGTCAAGGTGTACATGTGTATATGCTGGCCCCAATCCAGCACAAGAGATTCATGTATAGGAGAAGCTTTCCTCTCACACAGCTAGTGCAGATACTTGCCCAGGCCAAACTGAACATGGCGGATTTGTCTTTTATTTATTTTAAATACGTATGTTCCACCTTTCAATTGCAGGAAGCCTTGAGGTGGCTGACAGAAACATCACTGTAGATGCAATTAAGCCATAAGACCTGTTAACAAACCCACTACAGTAATACAGAGAAAATACTATTAAAAGCTAAACGGTAGGGGAGCCGTGTATTTGGCTGTTTCCTAAAAAACAAATCAGGGAGAGAGTCCAACAGAGGGGTAAAGGGCTGATTACAGTGATAAGGTACCATGAACAAAAAGGCCTTGTCTTTGCCTCAGAAAGAGTGAGGATCCTTCTGAGAATGTGTGTGGGGGGGGCACACACATCCTTATTTATGTATTATTACATTTATAGGCAGAGCCTCCCTTTCCTCCAAGGAATACACGGTTCTTCTCCCTCTCCGTTATTATCCTCACAATGTCCCAGGGAGCCAACTTTGGCTCAGAGATAGTGACTACCCAGTGAGCTACATGGAAAGGTGGAGATTTGAACCCTGGTCTCCCAGGGTTGTACCTAAGGCTTATTGCACCCCTGGCCCTTTAATTCTCTGCCAGTAAAGCCAAAGACTCTGAAAGATCTTGGATGCTGAAGGCTCCCTAGTTCACTGCAGCAAGTGGGACTACACTGTCTGTAGCTGTTACCTGAAGAGTTTGGAGTAGGAAAGATTTTCTTTAGTATGGGAATTAGATAAACAGAGATAGATGCCTCTTCCACCCCAAAGGTTCCTGTATTAGGTGTTGTTGTTGTTTTTAATGCAATCTTTTCTGTAATTTGGGATCTATTCCTAGCAGTGGTTGCAGGGATGTTCACTGGAGGCACTGCCATCCATAAGCCTCGGTGTTTCTGGGTGCCATAGAGAGCCATTGCCATAAAAACAGAAGGGACTCTGCATGGCTGCGACCTACAAGCTCAGTGTGTGCATTTCAGAGCTGAACTCCAAGGAAGTTTAACTCAGAAACATAAAACCCACAGAGCACATTTACTTTCACCCAAAAGCCAAGGGCATAGAGGACAGCAGCTTTTTTCCCTTTTCTTTAGGCGTTAGCAGTGTCCGTCCAAACAAAAGCGTGAGGCCCTGGGGCATCGGTGTGCCTGCATATGGTGTAACCAACAACAAAAAGTCTTCCAATAATTGTTTATTAGGTACAAGGGGAGAGAGCAAAAAGTAACTGAGCACCAGGCTGTGCTGAATTAATCATCCCATTTAAATAAATAGGATTTCAGCATGCTTAACAAGAAATGTACCAACTTCTGCCTGTTTCTGTTTCGCAGGCTTTTTGCTCATAATTCTATTCCATTCTGTTTCTGCATTTATCTTCATTTTTAAAAATAAGCAAACGTGAATTTGCCTCTCAATATACATATATAAATGTGCTGAATTTTAATGCATTTGAATCACCAAGAGATTGTGTGGAAACTTTGAGAGAAATGTGAAATCTGGCTAACAGCCAGATGCTTGAGTAAATCAAAATGCTAAATCACGGCTGATTTGTTTATTTTAGAATTTTGCAAACTCCACCCCCCCTGAAAATAAAGGTGTACACTTATCTTGTTTGCAATAATTATTTACACCCTCCCCTACTGCTTAACTTGGAAACAAAAATGTAATAACATAAAGCTGTATACTGATCTTGTGTAGAACTGTAGTTTTTTCCACATACATTGGAAACAAAACAGTGCTAAAATAATGTAAATTTAAAAGGCTCCCGGGGACCCTATCCAACTAAGTAATACTCAGAGTAGACCTGCTGAAATTAATGCATATAGATTTCAATACATATATTTTGAGTATGACTAACATTGGTTTAATAAACAAATGTTTGAAACTGAATTTCTGAATTGCAAATTCATTGATTAAAAGGAAAGAACAGGATCAAATGAAAAAAGTAGAAAATTGAGTAAGATTCCCCCAACACCCACCCGTAATCAAGTTCTTTTTGAAAGCAGTAACAAGAAGAAGGATTTGAGCAATCACAATGCATATAAGTAAGGAACTCTATCCTGTGAATCTAACTGGAACAAAAAAAAGAGAGAGAAGAATTTGCTGTTATGAAACAAAAACTTCAAATTAAATCTCAAAACAAACTGCTCTTTTAAAGACCCGTAATCTTTCATAATACAGGGCAAAGGGTTTTTTAAAAAAAGAGAGAGAGAGGAAAGGGCTGGGACAGTAACAAGCATTTCTCAATTAAACCGACGGCAATGTAATCGATATGAGCAGTTTTGATACCAAGAAGAACATGAAGTCAGTTGCAATTTTGCACTCATCCGAGACTCCTGGCCTTCTTAGGTACTGTACTTTTGTTGGGAGGGAAATGCAAAATTATACTAAAAAAACCTCTTCCGTGTACGTTTAATCTGTAGATTAGCTCCTGATGACTTGGCCTTTCCTCCTCCTCTGCTTGGTTTGAAGCCGGCAAAAGGTCTCCACCCTCTTTAATGTGCTGTATGTAGTTGCGTCAAAGCCTTCCTCCTCCTCCTCCTCCTCCTCCTCCTCCTCCTCCTCTTCTTCTTCTTCTTCATTTCCTTCTCCAACCCATATCTCTGGCTCGCCCCCTGTATATCTCACAGCGTGCCCCCATCGCACTTGACCGACCTCTGATTCACCCTTTTGCATCAAGGCCTCGTTGCTCTACAATCCTATCCATGATTTTATTATTAACTTAAGTGCATTTGCTCCCTCTTGCTCCTTCTTATCTTTCCTCTTTGATTTCATATTATTGTCCTCCTCAATTGCTCCCTTCCTTGGCTTCATTCTTCCTTTTCAAACCACGGATTTCCACTTCTCCGTCTCAATTGCCTGCTTTTTCCCGGGTTGCGCCTTGCGTTCTGAATGCTTTGCCAGCTGAGATCTGGGCCGCTCACTTCCTCCTATTCAGACGCTTGAAGCTCATTTGTGTCAATAAAAAGTATTACCAGCCATTACTTTTGGGTTCATTCTAAACAGACGGGCACAATTGTCCGTATAGTCTGTTTTCAGGAGAACTGAATGTTCTAATATAATCATTTCCTCCCACCATTTTACGTTTCTCCTTTTCTCTTTTCTTGTTTTCTCTTTGGAAAATTTAGGCTGTAGTCCTATCTATCTATCTATCTATCTATCTATCTATCACCCGGCTGTAAGCCACACTGAACTCAATGGGACCTACTTCTGAGTCAACATGCATAGCACTGAACTGTCAGACAGTCAGTTTTGGAGCAAAGTGTGGTTTCTTTTAAATCTCTTTAAAGAGCCTCACTGTGGTATAATGATTTTGATGTTGATGATAATGATAATGGTACTCCTACCAATAATAAAAATGTTATTTCTACATCCATCTATCCGATGTTATTTCATACTCATTTATAAATGTCTAGCAGACTCTGGAGGAAGGTCAGAGATCATTATTTAGCAAATTAAGGTTGCCTACATGGACAAGCCAGCTCAATCGACTGGTCTTCCTTCTTAGAATGTTGTGATCCCCAAAATGCTGCTTCCTTTGGGACTGATGTGCTGCACTGCACTGCACATAGTGTACAGAATTATTAGCTGCTACTCCCAATCTCCACACACAGAAAGAAGTAAAAGGGAAACTTTGCAGCAATGTGCCTCAAAGCAGATGTTCCTTTGGGGGCTGCCCTGAGGATTTGCTTTTGCATGTCGGCAAATTTTGAATATGCATCTGTCACTCAGTTGAGGACTTACCACAATGCTCCCCATATGCAGATATTAGAGGTAACATTGGTTGTCTCCTGCATAACACACCAACGTATTGGTCTCTAGTGATAAGGTTATATTGTTTGCAGTTTGACTGTGTTCCTAAACCTGTGCTAAAATTTTGCCCTGACCACCACCCTCCAACATTACATTAGAAGCAGAGACCATCTAATAACGTGAGCATATATTGTGGGCTCAGGCTAAAGCAAACAAATTAAATACAACTGGATCCAGCCAAAATTAAGCACTTTGAACCCAAGGATGGATTAATCTGTCAGATTCTGTTTCTCTTATTACTTTATTAAATTTGTTGTTGTTATTATTTTTTTATAAATTTGTATACCGCCTTATAGCTCTCAGGGTGCTTCACTATATCTTGCCCAAGGCAGTCCCAAGCAACTTACAGCCATTAGTTTCTCATTTGTCCAATCTTAAATTCAGTTTTCCCCATTTCCGCACCATTTGTGATTATTTTTAAACCCTCTTGAAAATTTGTCAGCGTTTTCATGCAAACTTCTGCTAGTGAACAAATTTTTGCACGCAGTCCTGACCAATATACACATTTTTGAAAGCAATTTCTCAAAAGGTAATGCATGTTTGTATGAAACTTTCACCAACATATGCATTTTATACATGCCATTCACAGGAGAACTGCATCGTAAAATTCAGAGAAGTGCAAATTTTGGAAGGTCAGCTGTGTTTCAGTTCACATATTGCTTCGGAAAGTGAAAATTAGGTAATTCCTCATTAAAATTAGACGAGATCAAATTTATCCTCCATCCCTAATTAATATATCCTGCTGATTTCAATGGGAGGATTAAAAGATGTTTAAATCTCTTGAATGGAAACCAATGGCGCTTAATAAATTAATTTTGGCTCGATCAAACCCATAATCTATACTGTATTAGAGGGAAGTTCAGGTTCTATGCCAATAGAAATAAAAAACCAGAATTCAGCTGGCACCGGTGGAAAGATAGGAGTAACTTTACGCAATTTTACTGCCCAACCCTATGCATGCTGACTCAGAAGCAAATCCCAATGAGACTCACTCCCAAATCAGTGTAACCTCACATTGCAACCTTAAGTCCTCCAACACTATGATTTTGTATTATGAAGTCCGAGTGCTCTTTTTAAAAAGAACATTGCTTTTGAAAACAGACTATCAACTAAACTACAGTTGTCTCTCACTTCTAAGGCTACTACTACTAGTACTACTATACTACTAATATTGTACTGAGCACCTAAATCATTAGCCACCGTACAATAGGTTTAAAGAAAATCTAATCCGGAAGGCATCCTTGGAAAAGTAAGTTGTACGCCTAACTTTGACATCATTTTCCTCAATTGTGTATCACTCTTCAGTCAATAATCTTTCACCCTCTCATTCTTTTTCTTTTCGGGGGGGATGACACAAAATAAATGCCACATTTCATGGCCAGATGAGAGGGGGGGGTGTGCAAGGGAAAGCAGAAGAAAGCAGGGGCCTCGCCTGTTTACAAGAGCCTGAAAAGCACTCAAACATAGAAAAGCTTCCCTGAATTAAAAGGTTTAGATCATTAACTTGTTTTTCTGCGTCCGGCCAATACTGTGAAATGGTGGCTTTTCTCTTGAGGAGGAGGAGGAGGAAAGGAGAGGAGGGAGGGAGGGGGGATACTTAAAAGGGAGCTATGTTTGAATTAGGTTCCTAAACAGCAGCTTGCGCTTTGGAGAGATATTATCCAAGTCCCACGGCAGAAGCGTCCAAAACTCAGAGCTGAAGTGCAACTGCCCCCCCCCCTTTTTCCAAGGAAGAATAACAAGGCGGGAGAAAAGGGTTCCTCACAGGAAGCTGTCTGAGAAGCTATAATGGTGCTTCAGATGGATTGGAGATAGGAAAAGGAAGGCAAAGGAGGGGGGTTCTTAGTGAAGGCCTCATCTTCCTAAAGACACTCAAGGCTTCCTTTACCCCCTCTCTCTTTTTCGGTCATTTAATACGGCACATAACCATTACCTTGGATTTCCTCCCCCTGCCTCCACTTTTAATGTTGGTTTTCCTTTTTAACGCCCCAGGATTCCTGAATTGCAGCTCATGACAAACTGGGAAGAGTTTTGCTATGAGAGGTCTGAGAATGAATTTAAAAAAGAGTTGGGGGGGGGGGACAAAATGAAACAGCATTCTTCTGGGCTGTTGTGAATTTCTAATCCGGTGAATGACAAAAGGAGTTTGAACCGATGCTTATTTAATTTCATGCATTGTTTGAAAAAGGAAAGAAACTAAAAAAATTATTATTATTATTAGCTTTATTTATGAATTACTTCCCATGAGGCATCCTGAAGCGAATTACAATACAATAAAAACATACACAGAACTTTTTAAAAAAAAGTTTTGTGTGTATATATTTTAGAATAGCACTCAAGCGATTATATTCATTCCCCTACTATACTACCCTGAAACCATAGAACAGATTTTTAATTAGCTCCTTTTTCATTCTTGGTTCATAAAGAATATGTCTGCATGTTGTGGTTTAATCAGTCACATTTTGTCAAGAGAAGGTCTGCTACCCTTTGCAATGAAGGGTCAATTCCACTATCTGTAAAGTTGCTGTATCTAAAAGAAGGCAAGATACAGATACCTGGAATGGTTTCCTGATGGCACTTAAACAAAATAAAATACATTACAATAAAATAGACTGAATTTCAAAGACCCAACTGCAAAGGTAGCTTAACATGCCTTGTCCGTGAAACATACACTTCAATTGTTATGTTTCTGTGGATGCAGTGAGTGGTTTAAATGATCGAGATAATTATATTTTGTACAGTATACATCAAATGATGATCTTGGATATGCTCGATGGCTCAAACACATACATTATCTATCTATTTCACCTCCTGGCCCCGAATACAAACAGAAAAGACTCTGAGCAACGACAAACAGGAACATTCTAAAAATATG